CCTACAGTTATTGTTTCACGATTAATTCCAAATATTAATGTTAATATTGTAATTATTTACAGCCACGTATAATAACGAATAACATAATCTAAAATCGCAGCAGGAAAAAGTATAAAATATAAGAGTCTATTAGAATTAAGTTGTCGTACAATGTTAAAAAACATCAATGATTCCTCTATAACTTTTGAAGTGGAAAGGTGTCAGGAGCTCTTGGTAAATGAAAGTGACGAGAAAGTATGAAACCGGTACCTTTGAAACCGGAATCTCTCGTAGACCACCGATTATGGAATATCAATCGGTAGATGACCAAATAAAATTAACCTGATCACGTGTTTAGTACCACCGAAACACCAAAAATGAAAGCGATTATCGAGGAATTCAAGAATTTGACCATTTTATGAATGATCGCCATTTTAGAAACCTTCGTATATCTGAAGCCTAGAAATAATTTAAAATGTTATTAATCAAAATAAAAATTTGACATTGATTAAGTATATATTTACTTCATAAATAAAGAACTGATTTATGGAGAACATGTCCGGAGAATATTTGGAGCCATCGTGATGTAGAAGCTATTTTCTCCTTGAGTAATTTAAATGAAACCTTTGTTCCCATTCATCGCGGATGATAAGCAGAAGACAATGGGATATCGTGGATTGTTTTGGCGAAGTTACAACGAGCAAATGAAAATGTACCGGGAACGAATTGAAAAGCTCCCTGTGAAGAGTTTGCAATGTCTGGTGTGATAGAAAACCGTATATAACTATTGATGTGGAACGATAAAAGTCGATAGAACTCCTGTAACTTTATGTACGTGTTTTATTAGATTAACGGAATATTATAAAAAAAACTGTACAGGTTAAATTATTTGTCTTGTTTAACTTATGTGTTATGGTCTTGGACTATGTAATTCAAATTTTCTCATAATTAGGAGTCAGAATCAGTTTCGTTTAATGGCAGTTATAAGGTCTTTAACGCTGATTGTATAAGACGTTCCAAAATGAATGCCAGGTGAAATAGCAAGTAGAGAAAAAATGTCTACTATTATTTATTATTATATTTATTATTATATCTATTATTACATTTGTTTAACGTGATTTAATAATAATTCAAGAAATCGTAAAATTGTAAAATAGCTCGTAAATATTTATAAGATCTAATTGTGTCAATTTTGAAACGACCTATACATTCTTTTGTTAAATCTACTTCACTAGAAGCATATGTTTACTAAATAAAGTTATAAATTTTACCATCTTAGTCTTTGAAACACCTTCTATTGTGTATAAGATAAAGACTTTTTACATTTAACATTACGTTCGTTAACATAAGTTAATAACGAATAATCATTTGTTTTGCAGTATCGCGGACACGCGTGTGGATGAGGGTAAATCATCTTAGTGAGAGGGATGTCTGAAAGCGACGGAGAACAAGTAGCTCGGTCGGTGGCCTTGGAGCAAGCCTATGTCCATGAAGTTTACGAACAATGTGCCGAAAAGACAGTCCAAACTAGACATTGGCCACGAATCTATCAATTTCTCGAAGAATTGGAACCAGGAGCCCTTGTCTGCGACATTGGTAATTTTATTTGTGGAACACCTTTAGTTTTACATGTAAAATCCATTCTACTAACATCGTGTCTTTTCCATATCCGGAATCAACTGCTTATTATGCTATTTTTCTTGTCTAATATTAGTTTAATAATTCTTCATTTAGGAACTACTTAAACAATCTGTAATTTCCATTATAGAATACACACACTGTGGTTGGATTTCTTGTGTATCTAAAATTTACATATTTTTGTTTCAAGTAACTTTTGAAATTATTACTTAACCTATAATGTTATAGCAACTGATAAATTTAATGTAATCTATTACATTACCATCATATTTTACCATCAACTTCTTTCATTACATGATTTCATTCATTACCAATATCTTCAACCAATTAACGAACTCCTCACACTTATGCTTTTAAAGTGTGAAATAAAACGAAGAATCGAAGTGTTTTAACTGTCCACCAGGTATTGTTTTCAGAAATCCCCGCAGTGCGCGCTGTTTTCCGTTGAAAAGGAATAATTTAATGAAACTGCTTAGTGATCTTAGTCAATTCACTGATTTTTCAATCTTATGCTATAGCCGCGCCCTATAGAACGCACACCCATGCAGGTCTCCCATTTATGGGCGTGTGTTCCTTCCTTTACCTGCTTTTTCCTCGCCTCTCAACTCCGGTCACTCTCGCTTTCACATGATCAATTGACCTCCGTACTGATGTATCAACGCGATCTGTGCAGATCACGTATGCATGTGCGCACGCGTGTGTAGGTTAGAGCGCTGTGTGCACGACTGATCCCACGTCGCGTAGCCGGTGCTGAAATACCGTGGGATCCGTTCTCCTTGGATTACACAAACTCATCGACCAACGAACTTCGATGCCTGTTGTGTTCTGTATTCCACATTTGATCTACTTTTCGTGCATCGTTCCGAAAGACATACTACCGGTTTGATCCGTGGAATTAGTCATTGGTTTTCTAATACGTTCCTTGCCGGGTGATCAGCTGATTGGATTGCGAAATCGGAAACGATAACCGGATCTTTTATTTAGTTCATGACTGATTCGAGTTAAGAATTAAGACCATATATGGTCTGAAGTCTGTTAGAAAAATATTTTGGTACAGTGTATTTTTTCTGTACTTTATATGAATGTAAAAAATGAAGCTTTATTTAATGTACCGGAGTTTAATTAAGAAATGAAGTTTAAATGTCCAAGATGCAAAAATGCAATCGTATAGGTTATTTCAAAGTTGGAAAACACTTGTTCCTCCCATCTTATTTACATTATTGACTGATTATATCTTACTCGTTCCACGTGGTTCAATGGTATATAATAGTTTTATATTTTGTTATTACTACTTATACTAATTAATTAAATAATTTCATAATTAGATTAAAACCGTTAATTTTAGACTGCTGCGACCTGCAATGATTAAATTAATTTTACAAAATCAATAAGACTCTCCATTTAATAAACCGTGATAGAACCGATATAAGAATAAACGCATACATACTACACGGAATTATATTCATAATCGATACAACACCGAAATAAAATCAATAAGGAAACTGTTTCAGTAACTAATGGAATGGTAACATATTCGCATTTATTTTGTTTTTGTATAACTATAGAAAATAACAATTATCAGATTAAATGAATTAATTTTATTTTTATATTTTATTTACTTTCATTATAATTTACTTTCAATACAATAAATGTCATTCATTCTACATCTTAGAATATAATTAATTGTTGAAATTGAGATTTTAAAAATATCTTTGCCTGTTAAGAGACATATTTTCATTAATAAATATTTGGTTTTATAAGATGCAATTAACAGGAATATTTTTACATCTATCTTATCAGTTACGTGGATTGTGTTATACATAATACTATTCCTCGCCTCGTGATTCTACGTTGCATGATCATATGCAAATGAAAACATCATCGTCAGTTTTAATAACCACAGATATTACTTACAAAGGTTACTGATAACGACGAACGTCCATGTTGCCAAAGGGAATTGATACCATCGCTCGACAAGCAATTTTATAAACACGTTTGCAAAATCAATAAGAGTATCGATGTAAGAACCGAAATAGAACTGATATAAGGATATACGTACACATACTATGTACATAGAACCGTAGCAGTAACCGATACAGAACCGAAATAGAAGCGGCAAAGAACCGATATTTCAAAAGTTACTGGAACCGTAAACGATATCTTCACTGATTTCGGTTTTTGTAGAAAATATCACTTCTTCGAAAATTTATCGGGAAACGGAATTCATATTATAACAACTTTCAACCCTTAATGTTAGAATATTAAACTTGCATTTAATATATTTATAATTAAAACCTTCGAAATCATTAGCTAATGGTTCGATTACTTTTCTTTCAGGTTGTGGCAACGGAAAGTACTTGAGCGTTAATCACAGCATCTTTAAGGTAGGAGTGGATCGGTGTAAGCGTTTCACGGATATAGCGCGTGAAAAAGAAAATGAGGTGAATATATCATTTTAGAAAATATACGTATGAAAAGAATATAAAGCATACGATAGTCTGATACCGGAAATAAATTCTTACATCCGTATCCTGTATATCGGTTTAATCATAACTAATAGTATTAATTGCATCCGGAATAAGTTATCTAGCGGAAAATGTTTTTCCGTTCGACTGTATCTTGTAATTCCTGGCAATGATACTGCGAAAGAGTGACAATGATTAATATCGTTGTTAGATATATGTATAAGCATCAACATAAATAATTTAAAATAGTATAATTTTTTATTAAAAATATATATATAGCGTAAATGTAATTTTTAAAAAACTTGTCTTTCACATTGCAGGTATTGATTTGTGATAATTTAGCTCTACCATTTCGAGATGAGAGTTTCGACGCAGTCCTCTCGATCGCTGTTGTGCACCACTTTGCAACAACAGAGAGGCGGGTACATGCACTGAAAGAACTTGCGCGGGTGTTGAGGATCGGGGGTCGACTGGTCATATCAGTATGGGCTATGGAACAAAAACATAGGAAGGTAAATAAATTATTATCTACAATGTAATACTTAAATTATCTTACATGGATTTTCAAGTGTATAAAGTTATATAGTTTTATAAAACTATATGTAGTATGTTAAGTATTGAAGAATGCTTTGGATTGCAAGTTATTCGAAGGATTTGCAGATACAGGTACATATATAGGCTATCCGATTCAGTTCAAAAATGTCGTCATCCAATTCGATTAAATTCAAACGGTATTTGAACATGCCTATGAAATACACCCACGCGAGCATGACGGTTAATCGATACGACTATTTCAATGCACATAGTCAAGGTAAACTGTTCGAATTTATTGCTGATTATACTATTTTTCAGCTCAAGTTCACATGCTTGCTAAACATAAAGTTTCTAAATTGTCACTGGGAATCCTCCCATATTTTCATTTGAGAATTTATCATTGCGTGTTTTTACAGACTAGTTACTTATACACTTGCAGTAATTTGAAGGTATATGAATGAACAAATCTTACTTTTGTTTGTTTCCAGTTCGAATCTCAAGATGTCTTGGTTCCATGGCCCAAAGCGTACTGCATTAACTCAATACCAAATAGATCGAAACGGTTGGGTGCATCACACGGCAGTGATTTACACTTCAATCAAAATGCTCAAAAATTCCTATCATCTTCTAAAAGGTATTTAATTATCCTAACTGCGTAAACAAGTAAAAAAATATCAACCTAATATAAGCCATTTGAAGTAAAACAGCATCTATGAGCAAAAACTAAGATATGTAACTTGGTAGTTGAAAAAACATCTGTATTGAAAGAGCTTCAAAATTGGTAATTTTCAAAAATTATATTCCCATCACTTTTTCTCGTTTACTTTTCTCCTTTTCGTAGGACATGCCCCAGTGATAATACGATGTTCTCCGTAATGATTGCTAATGGGTATTTTATTTTAGGAATAGTCAACGAAAATGTAAAAGCAAGAGCTATTGGATCGACCCGATATTCAGTCCATCACCGTCAACCAGCAGCCTATCCAGTCCAAATGAAACTTGCTACAGCTTTTTTCGTCGTGCATTGCAGGTAACATAACCTAACTTGACTAGTTTTCCATTATCCTGTGTTATACAATCGCGTGTTAACGTTAAAATTGATTCTCCTTCTCTTTTCCTCTCATTTTTTCTTTTCTCTTTGAACTTTCCGCGCGTATGTTATTGCGACACGATAATTTCTCGCAATAGGTAGCTAAATTGTTGGCAGGTCTTATCGATTCTGCGCGCAACCGTAACGATGCTCTATACGAAAAAGTAGGCTAACTGCTTGCGGAATACGCTTTGGACGCAGTTGGAACGAGCAAAATGCAACGAAGATCGTTTGACAGCGGGGTGCATGAGTAAATTTGCCTCTTGTCGTTTACTCTTCTTGTAAATATTCGATAATGAGTGAAATGGGTTTGGAGGAAGAGTACTTGAGGCAATTCTTCCTTGGGAATTTGGATCTTTTAAGCATTTATACTTGTTGAAAAGATATAAACGATAAAACATCCTTGATTTTCTTTTTTCGTAGTTTTTCTTCATTGAAAATTATTTATTTTTCTATGACCTTAAGAGGTCGACTCATTTGAAAAATTATATAGCACACTTTACAGGTAGTGAATGAAAATAACTTAATTTTTTCTGCTTTTAGAAATTAGCAGGAGGTAGACGTGGGTCTGGAAGTCGACCTTGGTTTTTGGACAGTTGGCAGAGCGGCAGTGGTAAAAGTCGTAAAGACTATGAACAAGAAGAACCGCCGGACGTAGACGAGTTACCCATCGAGTTACGTCGCGTTGAGGATGTTAACGTGACGTTAAACAAGCAGTCAGATTCTCTGAGTATCAAATCTAAGAGTCTGGGTGATATTTTGGAGATTCAGCGACTGGACCTCGTACGATCTAGATCCAGTATTCCTGGCTTGTGTTCCATGTTGACATCCGAATTGAATCTGGACGGGGAATCCAGGACGTCATCGTCGATGAGTGGCTCGAAGCCACGACTGGTCAAGCAGAAATCTCATCTCATGGACGACACCGGTTTGGAAAATCCTGATAACACTGCCATTCAAGAACTATCTAAGGACATTCCAGACTTTCAGGTTTCTATCATTTTTTTTTATTTTTTTCATTTAAGTTTTAACGTTTTAGTTTTAACATTTCAAAAAAGAAAGATTTAATGTTTTAAGATGGAACCTTTAATTCTATATTTCAGTTAAAATATCTACATCTTTTATTTGGTTAACATTCAGGTAACACCTAGTCACTATTCGAAACGGGGAAGTATTCTAAAACAGAGCTCGATGAACGAGGAGCTAATGTCTACCGATAGGTTAGAAGAAAAAGAAAGGGTACGAAGGAACATAATGAAACAGGCATCTCTAAACGAGGATATTATCTGCAAGGGGAAAACCTTTGAATCTCTCAGAGACTCTCTCTATTCTGTAAACGCGACAAAGAGATTTCAACTATTGAAAAGTGGCCTTACGAACAAGATCAAACAATCTACGACTAACATTGAGGTATCCAGTATATCAATTAAAAATGGGTTCGTAAAAATTCTACAAGGATGGAAGTCCAGTGAAAATGAAACATCGGCGACACCGAATGATGAAGCATCTAGAATGAAAAACAACGACGCTAAGGTTCAGCCTGTAACTATGCCGAAGAAAGAGACAGAAGGCATTGAAAGACGCTTATCTCGCGAGGATGGTTCAGACTCATCGAAAGACAGCAGTTTGCAAAGTGATACAAGCGTTGATTCCGAGGACAGTTTCGCGTCCGTGATTTACGTGCCAAAGCAGGACGCTCAACCAATAACGGAAGTTATTATTCCAGCTTCGAGTTGTCACCAGCTGGGAAGTATTTCAGCACCCACTTCACCGCGCGTCAAACAACCGCCTGAAACATCTAACTCAAGATTAAAGATCATTTCCTTATCACCATTGCTCAAACAGTTCCCAGCCACTAGTAAGTCCTTACCTCCACCTAGTCCGCCTGGCCTATCACCTTCTACTTTAAACTCTGTATTTACCAGGCCATTCTTTGGCCCAAACACTGTTGTCAGTCAACAACCATTGCCTGGGGAAAAGACTATTAGTTTGAAAAAGGCCGAAGTTTTGAATAATGGCTATCATCAGTCAAATAATGAAGACTTGCAGGGTAATAATAGAAATATGGAGAGCGAGATTTGTGGAAGAGATAATTACCTGGAAAGGAAAAAGCCTAGCTTGAAGACTGTACGTGCTTATAGATCCATGACTGAAAGCCTGGAGGTGGAAGAACCGAAAATTGTTAAAGATACTACTCCACTTTTACCTACTGTGGATGACAGTCCTGATATATCATTGCAGGAGAAGAATATCTCTGAGATCAATAAAGAGGAAGACAGCCGTAAAGCTAGACTGAATCAGATCAAAGAACTGTTAAAACAGAAACCTGGTTTTGCAACTAGAACCAAACCATCATTTCCTCTAGTCAGAAGAGCTTCGACGACAGCTAGTGGTCGCTTAGAAGCCGTTACCAAAGTTCTACCACGGTTGCTTTCATTAGAGTTATTCAATCCTGAAACTGATGACTTGGATAGTGATTCTAGTGGAGTATCTTCGCCTGATTCAGTGGGATCTGTGATCAGTGTGATCTCCGATGAGAGGTACATGGCTAAGAAAGATAACAACAAGTCAGAGTGCACTGAATCTGAAATACTGGACAGTTCAGCTGAAAATGTGTCTGACCCCAGTGATATAACAGCTGACGAATCATCAGGGTACATAGCTGATTCTAAGGAAGATGAAACAAAGGCAACAGGAGATAGTAGTTCGTCTCAATCTTCTAGGCTCCTAGAAGCTGCAGCTAATGTCGCTAGTTCTTTGGAGGATGCCGTGGAAACAGCCATTACAAAAACGCACAGTAAATCATATTCCATGCAAACAGCACAACAAGAAGGTATTGAAAATTCAATTACCAATGAAAATAAGGTTAGAACGAAATCGGATATTCAGTTACCGGAAGTGGAGGACACTTGGAACGAAGAATGCCGTAAACATCTGATAGACTTCACCGAGAAGCTCAGCGAAAACTTGATGCATGAGTTAGATGAAAATAAGAATGACCAAAAGGTTTTAGATGAGCCATTCCTTCTAAGAAAAGACTTAGATAAACGCAATATCGAATGCGTACCTACCTATGACATTCCTTCATCGATATCTACCAAATCTAAGTACAACGATTTATCCAACACAATTGCTTGGCTAAGTAACACTAATAATGGGTTCCCTGAAGATGCATTGATGCACAGAAGTACATCAGATGATATAATGGACTTCGTCGTGGTCTCTAATACCGGTGAATTTATGAATGAAAAAGATACAGTTTCCTTAGACAAGCATTCTTCAGAAAAACCCTACATGAGAAGCTCAAACTCCATGGAGTCCAGTGACATTGGTGAATCCATTGATAATACCATCAGCTTTAGCGACGGGAGCCACGCGGAGTCTACAGGAAGATTATGTAGTAGCATGATGTCATTGCTATCAAACACCACAGAGTACCCAAAGTCGTATGCTGAAAAACGGAGGCTTCAATTACAAAGGAGGTCCGCCTCCGAAGAAACACCACCTAGGTACCCAGGCAGTAGCAAACGTAGCACTGATTGTTTAGTTACCACGACAGGAAGCAACGATTCTCTTAGTGGATCTTCGTCCCAGGAATCCTTACCGTCCGATCGTGGAGGTGGTGCCATTACCTATCATCAGTACTACCACGTGTTCAGAGAGGGCGAGCTGGACCAACTGATTAATAAATACGTGGAGAACTTGCATATTATTTCGTCCTACTATGATCACGCGAGTTGGTGTATTGTCGCAGAGAAGGTGCAGGTCTGGACTATATGACTCGAGGCGGACGCCCCTGTCCCGTTTTTACGCAGAGCGTCGCGCCTCGTGCGTCGCCACGCTGCCGGTTAGATCGCTTATCGGGCAAGGATAATCAGTTCGTGAAGCTCGCTGAGCTTCATGAAATGCTTCTTTATTCAGTTTATGCGTTACAATGAACAGTAGGTTGATTTTTTTATTATTAAAATTTAAGAGGATACGTGATGATATACATTGATATAGACAAGGTTAGTAGCTAACGAAGATACGTACATGAATTTATTATTACTTTACAAGTTTCCTTGAGATCGAAAGTAATTACATTAGCTGACTGAATTATGATCTAGTTCAGGCTAATGAATCCAGAAGGGTATCAAAATTTTCGTGGATGAAACTGATGTAGGTAGTTGACAGACTTTAAGAAGACTAGAGTTTGATTTTTGGATTTTAAAGAGATGAAGCGTGACATCTGATACAATTGGAAATTTTCGTGCAGTTAGGAGAAATGCAATTTCTATTTTCAATTAATGCACATGTTCTTTATTTCAATTATTACTTCAATCGAAGTATGGTGTATTACTTAAAACGAAGGAAAGCATGCTATTGTTTCTAATGTGAACTTAAGTATCCACGATCTATATTTTGATGAATTCTGTTGATTTGCAAAGGTTTTCATTAGCTATGTGATTAAAAGTGGTTAGGGAAAAATGATAGTTGAGGCAAGTTGTAAGAGAGGAGGAACGAAATGTAAATATGTAAAATAAAAAAAAAATAACGTTTCCGACGTAAGCGCACAGATCGGTAAACAAACTCATCAAATAAGCGACATTAGTAGAATAGTAATTTATATCATTCGTCTAAGTGCTTGACCAAACGTTCCATCTTTACTCGTTCATTTTATCGATACATTGTTTTGCCATTGAAAACAGATCTCCATTCTAGTCTCAAGTCGATTACGTGATAAAGCATAGCTTTAGTTAAGTTTAGTATTAGGTCTGTGGTTCCTAATCTTTTCATCATTGAACTTGTCGGCTGTTTGTGATCATTCTCCCATGAAAACAGGCACGTTGTTCTTCATTGAAGTATATTTATACAGCAACTGTATCATAGGCGATAGCGTTTCTGGTATGTTCACTCTTCTCCCCACTGCCCAATACTTTGTTTTGAAAATTATTTAATGTGATATATCATATAAGTTTTTTTATACTATTATAGTAATATAAACCTCAACTGATTAATAAATACGTGGAGAACTTGCATATTATTTCGTCCTACTATGATCACGCGAGTTGGTGTATTGTCGCAGAGAAGGTGCAGGTCTGGACTATATGACTCGAGGCGGACGCCCCTGTCCCGTTTTTACGCAGAGCGTCGCGCCTCGTGCGTCGCCACGCTGCCGGTTAGATCGCTTATCGGGCAAGGATAATCAGTTCGTGAAGCTCGCTGAGCTTCATGAAATGCTTCTTTATTCAGTTTATGCGTTACAATGAACAGTAGGTTGATTTTTTTATTATTAAAATTTAAGAGGATACGTGATGATATACATTGATATAGACAAGGTTAGTAGCTAACGAAGATACGTACATGAATTTATTATTACTTTACAAGTTTCCTTGAGATCGAAAGTAATTACATTAGCTGACTGAATTATGATCTAGTTCAGGCTAATGAATCCAGAAGGGTATCAAAATTTTCGTGGATGAAACTGATGTAGGTAGTTGACAGACTTTAAGAAGACTAGAGTTTGATTTTTGGATTTTAAAGAGATGAAGCGTGACATCTGATACAATTGGAAATTTTCGTGCAGTTAGGAGAAATGCAATTTCTATTTTCAATTAATGCACATGTTCTTTATTTCAATTATTACTTCAATCGAAGTATGGTGTATTACTTAAAACGAAGGAAAGCATGCTATTGTTTCTAATGTGAACTTAAGTATCCACGATCTATATTTTGATGAATTCTGTTGATTTGCAAAGGTTTTCATTAGCTATGTGATTAAAAGTGGTTAGGGAAAAATGATAGTTGAGGCAAGTTGTAAGAGAGGAGGAACGAAATGTAAATATGTAAAATAAAAAAAAAATAACGTTTCCGACGTAAGCGCACAGATCGGTAAACAAACTCATCAAATAAGCGACATTAGTAGAATAGTAATTTATATCATTCGTCTAAGTGCTTGACCAAACGTTCCATCTTTACTCGTTCATTTTATCGATACATTGTTTTGCCATTGAAAACAGATCTCCATTCTAGTCTCAAGTCGATTACGTGATAAAGCATAGCTTTAGTTAAGTTTAGTATTAGGTCTGTGGTTCCTAATCTTTTCATCATTGAACTTGTCGGCTGTTTGTGATCATTCTCCCATGAAAACAGGCACGTTGTTCTTCATTGAAGTATATTTATACAGCAACTGTATCATAGGCGATAGCGTTTCTGGTATGTTCACTCTTCTCCCCACTGCCCAATACTTTGTTTTGAAAATTATTTAATGTGATATATCATATAAGTTTTTTTATACTATTATAGTAATATAAACCTTTAATTTTTTTTAGAAATAAATTAAGTATAATGTTTTTAAAATTGATTACTAAAGGAATATTATTTTCTTAGTTTATTTCTTCTTACAATACATTAAGCTGCATTTAGAAGTACAGGAATTTCCATCATTTTTATTCTAAGATACTACTCAACACTACTTAGCATAAACAGATATCTATATATCTTTCTCAATCTAGTTGAAACACTCTATTAACCAAAGCAAATACATATAATCACTAGAAAATTATGAGTCTAAATAGAAAAAGGTGCAATTATGGTGGTAGGGAGAACTGCTTGACCTTGGACATACCAAGAATTGTTCTCTAGTGGCCATTGCGTTTTTCTCACTTTTTCAAACATTCAAACGTTTAACCTCAACAGAGAATTTTTCAATGAATTTCATCCCCCGACAATTTCATAGTTCAATCATATCTTTTTCTTTGGGAGCGACATGGAAAATACTTTTCATTATAGAATATAATAGTACATAATCGCATTCTAATAGGGCTATGATAATGAAATGCAATTTTTCCACCATAATAATTAATCATGTGTCGTTCCTAATTTAAAAAAAAAAAAAAAATATACGACAATTGCAACAATCATAAGAGACTTTCTTTCTACAATAATGTAAATGTAAATATGGCATAAAAACGATGCTTCAATAGCGTTCATTTGCCACGCGTGTCTCGTAGATGGCAACAGGTCTGTATTATGAAAACCGAAGGTTTAGAGTAATAAATTGCACAGGAACTGCTGTTCCAAAGTAGCGGATGTTATTGCGCTATTACCACGAGGAAATACAGCTGATGAAACAGGAAGATACGCTGCTTCAAGTTATTGGAGAGTCATCCATTTTGATGCATAGAAAGCTACTGAACGTTTAGTGAAAATCTTGAAATATTATGGATACAGTATTATAGTTTCATTGTTGATTTAATTCACTTGTCACATGTTGTAGAATTCTACTTCTGTTCTTGACTTTTTTCTAAAACAAATTTCTCCATCTTTGAATTTATTATCGGTTTACAAAAATGCTATACATTTTAATTAGATCGCGTGAAATTTATTAAAACAGCTAATTTTTATTTTAAATATCTCGAAATATTAATATTCGCAACACTTACAATTAGTAAAAGTGGAACACCCTATATATTCAATCTTAATGGAAAACTATCTCACGGGTAGTATTACTCCAATTACTTCGAACAGAATATCTGCTACTTAAGGTATTAACAGAGTACACAGAAAAGATACGGTTCGTAAGTTTCAATTTGGTGTGTACAAAATAGATCAAATCGGTTGAATACACGCGAAAGTATAAAAGAAACGCATTCCACGCGCGGTACCGATTGATTACTGTTGGAATCAAGCAAGTTCAAGAATCACGATGAGTTCACCGTAAATAGGATTCTAATCGGAAAGTTTTGCAAGGTAGTCTCTTAATGAGATCGGTTCTCGGAGGGCAGAAATTTACCTTACCGACAGAGAAGACGCAAAAACTTCATATAAAAAAAGGACCAAAGTTACAAATATAGAGTACATCTGTTAATCTCCGTTATTGGCATCGCAGATTGAAGTATGATCACGTATGTTCACAGACAAAGAATTTTATGATGATTCCGAGTTTGCCGGATTCAAAAGGGTAAAATTAAAAGGTAATTCGGAATTCTGATGAAATACTTGTAATATCGCAATAACTATCGGACCATTCGATAAGAGTATACCATGAGACAGCAAAACAACCTTTATTTAGAAAATTTAGTGAAATGCAACCTCTACAATTCCTTGCTTTTTCAAGGATATTCACGACGAGACACGACTTTGTAAACGATTTTCGTGACTTTTCGAAAAATTGTCGCGGAAGTTCATCTATAAACGTGTTGCGCAACGGAACAATTCGTGAGGAACAAATAAAGGGTTAAAACACCTGAACCCGCTATGACCGAACTGTATATTTCATATATACATATATTAAAAAAAAGAAAAAAAGAAAAAAACAGTACTGACTGCGAAAAACTTATAGTTAAAAGAAGTAAAAAAAAAAAGTAAATGAAAAAATACACATATACATACACGTAGTTCGTGAAGTTGTTGACTCAGTGTCAAACCAATTTACAAAAACGTTAAAAATCGTAGATATAGTGGTATATATGATCGCGCACGTATGAAAAGGATAAAATAATTCTCTAACAAAAAAAAAGTAAAATTTACGAATCCAGTGATATTATACTTCATATGTTATGACGAGCATACTTTGCTACACTTTTTTTGTAAATATCTTATTGAGAATACAAAATCATTATATATATACATATACATATAAATACGTGTATACATACATATATCGGAAATCTTACCACGATTTCATGAATGTTGAAAGGGGCTGTCTTTAAATGTTAAACAGTGAACAATTCTCATTTTATTCATTATATCTTTTTCTCTTTTAGAAGATTATTTCACCGTTGAATTTACTTCGAGCATTTGTTGTATAAATTTAATATAGTTGTCTTAATTAATTGAACCGTCTAGCTGAATTTTATTATCAAAGTTAAGGAGAGATTTCTCGATGCAAAGAAAAAAAAGCGTACAAAAAACGTTGTTCTCGAAGATGCGACATTTGGCGACACTAGCGTCATCATGGAACAAACAAATGAATGCACAATCGATAAAATCGGTATTCTATATGATCAGCGATTTTAATCGAAAGCCTAATAGTTGCTCACCTATGTTATTATAAACGTCCACGATCATTTTGAACAGTCCTTTGTCGCGTTCTTTTTTGTTCTTCTTTTCCACGATATATATTTTACTTGTGAGCTTTTTAGTTATATTATATATTATGTACGACCATGTAAAAATTACGTACAAAAATGAATTTTGAAAATGAATCGAAAAATACACGAAACAAGATCGATAAAAGGAGAATATAATAATAGTTATTATAAATTAAGCATGTGTGAATTATTATTTTTACTTTATGATAAAAATTTGTCAGGAAAGAATTCTATATAAATTAATTTCTTTATTTATTATGATCTTTAACTAGTGTTTGTATAGTTTTCCTCAATATCATTAATATGTCTATTTTTGTAACCAAAATTAATTCAAGTTACTCAAATCAAAATCCAAATATTCACACATGTTTATTAATAGATGAAATGTGACTTAAAATTTCCTTATTTCATAATTTCAGTGCGAATTAATGAATGAACAAAAAAGAATACAAAGAGAGTTGTTGGATTTTAATGCTGCATCTAGAGAAGGCTGTGTTCGACATAGCGTACATATGTATATATGTGACGTGTATGTACATACATGTGCATACATACATATATACCAATATGTACACGTAAGAAGACATGCGACAAACAAAAACGTACATAATGCACAGATTACACACCGTATATAAGGTCTAATAATCCCTTACCTATATAGCGAATATTTAAAAGGAAAAAATGAATTGTTCTTCACGTATACTTATTCCCCTTCCATCCAATGAGAAGTGTATAATTATTGCGATAATAACATGAGGTTCAGTGTTGCGTACGACTTTCTATTATATTGTAGCATCTTGTGCATTATTCCAGTAAATAGCAGGGATCGGTCTGAAAATTTTTTATTGGTATTCTTAAAATAAGGAATAAATTTTTTTCATTTATTGTGTAGGAAAGAAACACATTTCGATCTTAATATATATTTTTTGAATTTTTATTTTCAATTATGAAATAAATATAGAATATATATTAAACTGTACTTGTAAAACAAAGTAGTTTGTTTCTTGTGTTTATATTTTGTTTTAAACTTTTCAGATCGAGCCTAATTATTATGCATATAAAATTATACTCGGTGAAAATGATTACTATAGAAATGGTGCTATTTATAAAAGATCCGTGATTGCATACCACCGAAAAACTACTGTTGTAGACGTACTCGAACCGTATTAAAATTCCTGTTCTGTTTCCTCGACCATTTTTGTTTATCTGCACGAATATCAGGGTAATAACCTCATTATGCGAGTTTTCTAACAAAGATTGAGAATATAATCGCAATGAACTTCAAACGATTTTTCGATTACATCCTCTCGCATGATTCAATGTATATCGCTTGTGGAAATAGTTTTATTATCAAAAGTTACTGATGTTTAACCAAGAAGCATTTTAAAATCACATAATTCATTCAACTATATAAGTGAAACAGATCCATCCCCAATATTATAAACTTGCAAACATTTTATTTTATTTAGTACTTACTATTACCTATTATTAAATAACTATTATCTAGTATATTATAATACTTCATGTGACTATCGAAGTATTAAAGATGGGCGCGAATTTTTGAAAGCGTTTAATTCTAAGTGAACATAACGGGGGCGCTACAAGACATTTCTTCGGCATTACGATTCTAGCTTGAGGTACGTTATGTTTGAGCGGTACCTCAGAAATGTTTAAAAAGATATTGACAATATATATACATGTGATTGATAGAAGGTTCCATCACAGTTTTGTAAACTACATCGTATTTCTATAGAGTTTACCATTCGGAGAAGGAAGGAAGTATGAAAGGGTACGCGAATTGAATTGTTTCAAATTTATTCATTACATTAGAGAAAAAAAAAAGAAACGATGAATCAACAGTTTCAATAACGATTTATTAGTAACTGCAAAAATAAAATAGTAATTATTTTAATTCCCAAAATTTGTTATAATTTTGGGAAAAACTTATATGTTATTCAAGAAATTCGCGTGTCCTAAAAATTTTCCTTGTTCTTCCGATTTAGTAATATCATATAAAACAGTTTTTCCTTTTCTTTTTGTGTTTTTTATCTTTCGATAACACCGTACGTGCGGTCCAGTTTACACCCCTTACATAAATACGTTTATTGAAACTTTCCATAACAATACCGAATTATTGATTCAGTACACTCGATCGATTAATTAAATGTTCATATTCATTTTAAACGACTAACTAGGCCATGTTCAAAACCAGACCAGACTTCTATTTTATACCTGTATTTCGTGATCAGGATATTAAAATGATTATCTACTGCGCATTATTATGTGTATATACGTTTTGTTTAATAGAGAAAATATTTCATATTTCTCACAGAATTATTGACTATCATACCCTCTGGACAAATACTATTCCAGGAATTTGGAAAAATCGTTTCTTGTTTATAATAAGGCAAAACTAACTTTGTAATTTTTAAATTATTTTTAATAATAGCTTAAAATGCTAAATTGTTTTAGATTATTTAATTGTTGTTCTTAATTTTTTAAATTAAATTTTTTAAGAGGTAAGTTAAAATGTATAATTATTTATATTTACTAAGGTATTAAAGAATACATTTAAATTACCTTTTTGTTTTATTGGATCTTATAATAGTTTTTATCATATTTAATGACATTTTTGTTATTATATGATTTTTATACATATATACTTATTGTGTATGTATGTTATCCTCATATCTAATACATCATTGCACAATTTTTTTTTTCACTACATTTCTATCAGCAAATTTGTCAATATATAACAAATTCTGTTGTTATAGTTAATACAATTTATAAATAAATTTTATGAATATAGCTATTGTGCCTAAACAATGCATATTTCTTATTATTATATAATTATCAAAAGCAAACATGCAATGAGGCACTGAAAGATTAAGTCTTCATTGTGCTCATTATAAATATTTATGCAAAAACAATACAATTCAGTTCTTACGGCACTTTTCTTTTTCATATAAAAATTGTTAACTTGTTTCATATTTACTTTTGTGATAAGTGTACAATATGTGCTAAAAAAATAAAATCATATATATACATGTACGTAAATTACAAATTTCTCAAGTAAGCCTATGTACATGTAATTATTAAAATATAATAAGTAAATATTTTGTTATAATATGTTTGATAAGCACTTTAAGTTGTTTATTTTGTAAAATTATGTTGGGCCAGAAAATATGCACAGAAACTCCTTGAATTATCATAAAGGTGTTTCATTTTTATCAAGTTAGATAATATTGATGCTTTTATACATTTCATTCATAAGAAATGTTTATAAGAAATTGCTTAGATAAGAGAAATAATATTTTTTTTATATCTTATAACTCGATTATTTAAATGAATGAATTGAAGAATAATTTATAACAAGATGTTCATATCTTCAACTAAAATTGGAAAACCATTATGAAATTAATTATGTTTACAAAGCTTTTTTTACATTTTTATACATATTTCAGCTATGCAGCTTTGTATTTTTATTCACGTCGCAAATTTTCAAGCCTAGCTTGCAGATCTGCATCAGCATCTGCGAAATTTCCACCTTCATCATTCCCTGTTGCAGCTGCAACTGGTTGCTTAGGACTTACTACATTTAATGAACCAGATGCCTGTGGTAGACCAGACAACTGATCTGTCAACTGGAGACCCAACTCATCCAAAATTTGTGATACAATGGCATCGCTGTATATACATAATAAATACAATTGAAATATGTCATGAACAAAGATTCACATCTTTCTAAAATTACAAATAGTTTTAAGTAATTGTCCAAATACCTTTCTTCTTCATCTCCCTCATCCTCCATTGCATCATCAATAGCATCATTCATAATTTCTTCTTTCATATCCATTATCTCTGATTGCTTTTCAAATTCTTGTAATATTTTTTGTATTTGTGGAAGATTCAATTGTCTGTAAAAGTATACAACTTTTATGTATAGCAAATAATAAAAATTACTTCTTGACTTTAATTTTAAATAAGCAGAATAAATTCATACTTGTTCATATTTTGCATTGCTCTTGTAACACCTTTCATTGCTTGTGCCATAGCATTTTGAGAACGTAAGGTTTGAATTTTCAAAGAAACTGCTTGAATATTTGCTTTCATTAACATGAACTTTTTTACATAGCGCCTAGTTCTCACAAGATCCTTAGCCATAATTTTTACAGCATCCTAAGAAACCATTAATGAAAATTTAATAATATAAAAAAGATGTATAGAATTAAATCAGGTTACCATTTGTCCATCTTTAGCAAGTTTTTTAATATCTGCAATAATTTTTTTCTCTTGTTGTTCCATCATCTTTCTCTCTCTATCAAGATCTCGCATAGCCTTGTTTAATGATCTTTGATTTTTCCTAAGCATCTCTGCAGGAGTAATTCGTTTTCCAAATAACCACTCCATAATTGTAATAGTAATATCACAACTTTACTTCTATAATTAAAAGGTATAAAATATATAAATTGTTATAAAAATTTTAATATTTTTACATGAAAAAGTTATGTAAATAAAAAAAAAATGAGAAAACATAATTTAATAAAACTTATTATTCTATGGAAAAAATTGTATCAATATTTATTCCATTAAAAGTGACAAGATTTTAAAATAGAAAAAAAAGCTTACCTAATTATATTAGTTGCAATTTTGAAAATACAAGTAAAAAATTTAATAAAATATTTTATCGTTCGAAATTGACTTTTTTAGGTTAAAGTTTTTATATCGAGAATTGAATGACAGGACTGGATGAGTCACAGATCCAAAATGATTAAAAACGCTGTTAGATATATCCATGTACAGTAGATCATTTTGTTATTTCAGATTTTTTTAACATAAGAAACATAATATGACATTATCACAATACATCGTAACACTTTATAGGATTGACAAATCCATTGTAACGGTACTATAGAATTGTGAAGATACTGTAAGCAACTTACATTACAATTTACAAAATAGATCATAAAATATTGATTTGATAATTATAACAGACAAATTTTTATCGTTATATTTTAATAATGATATTTTTAGTCACTTATTAAATGTTTTAAACCAATTCGTTCATAATTAAAGTACTTGAAATTAAATGTTCTATTTACGAAACATTGTTGAATATATCTCGGATATTTTGGAACATTACCCATAAGATTCAATGTACAAATATAATTATTTACCTTTTTCAATGCATATGATATGGAATGAATCAAGAATTCTAAGATGAAAATTAATCAAATTAAATTCTTTTATAGAAAAACCAATAGATTCATTTATGAATATAAATGTGAACTTGTTGCGTTGATAACTTCACTGTATATTGTATAAAAAATAGATTTGTGTGTAATTGTCTCATTAATCAATGTCTAAAAGTCAACATCTTCTTTACAACTAGAAAAAATCAAAATAGACGTCAATAATTAATTTAAAAAGTAATCTAATAGTTTTTTAAATATTTTGGAATGCATGATATATTAATGTACATGCGTTCATTCACACATAGGAAGTTTCTTCAAATGTATGCTGTCAGAGTCTCTTAATAAAAGTCGGTATTTTCTTATAAAAATCAGTATATAAATAAGAAATTGAATAAAAATGAAAACAGCTTTGATGGTGGCTGAAAAGCCATCGTTGGCAGCTTCATTAGCTAACATTTTAAGTAATGGTCGATCCACTTCACGAAAAGGTAGGTTAAGTTTTTGTGTGACAATACATCTATAATTTTGTTATCAATATTTTAAATAAAAAAAATTAAATTTACGATATAATAGTTCATATTATCATATCATATTCATAGTTTTATAATACATCTATTCATAAAAAAAATTTTAGGTTTAAATACATCTTATTCAGTTCACGAGTGGGTAGGTCAATTTAGATCCGAAACTGTAAATTTTAAAATGACCTCTGTTTTTGGTCATGTTATGACATTAGATTTTATTGGAAAGTATAATAATTGGGACAAAGTTGATCCTGTAAGTTATAAACTTATATTGTTATAAATTTTCCTTTATAATGTTATTATTTTAATAAAATATTTTTTGTCACGTTTAAGGCAGAGTTATTTTCATGTCCAACTGAAAAGAAAGAAGCAGTTCCTAGATTAAAAATTCCTTACTTTTTGGCTAAAGAAGGAGCACATTGTGATTACTTAATATTGTGGCTGGATTGTGACAAAGAAGGGGAAAATATTTGTTTCGAAGTTATATATGCAGTCCAACAAGGAATGAATAGAAGATTAAATCCGAATGTAGGTTTCTTATAATTTTAATTTAATTGTCTATATTACCTTAATCATTTTATGAATTTTATATTTATTGTAGGATATTTGGAGGGCAAAATTTTCTGCTATTACAGAGAAGGACATAAAATCTGCATTGTTAAACTTAGTAAAGCCAAATGAAAATGAAGCAAAGAGTGTTGATGCTCGACAAGAATTAGATTTGCGAATTGGTTGTGCTTTCACAAGATTCCAAACAAAATTTTTTCAGGTATAGTCATTATAAATTATATTACAAAATATATATGAATGTAATATTCCATGTTTCTTTTCAACAGGGGAAATATGGAGATTTGGATGTGTCTCTAATTTCCTATGGTCCTTGTCAAACTCCTACATTAGGATTTTGTGTGCAAAGGCATGATGAAATTCAAACATTTAAGCCAGATCCTTATTGGGTTCTACAGGTATAATTTATTGGTATTAAAATAATTATGTTTTATTTAGACATATAACTACCTCTTATATGTCAGAATATAATCTCTCTATGATTCAGTAAGAGGAAGAAGATAAACTCGAATACATTGAAGGTTACAGTTAAATCTTCCGATGGTCAAGACATTACTCTGAACTGGAGTCGCGTGCAATCTTTTGACAAGGAGATAGCAAATATGTTTCTAAGTCATGTGAAAGAATATGATCAAGCAACGTAAGTATTAGATATGTATATTTATTAATACTTTAGATTAATATTATAATAATATAACAATATGTGTTTGATTAGTGTTGTAAGCATAAAATGTACAGAAAAAACAAAATCGCGACCTATAGCCTTGAATACAGTAGAATTGATGAGAGTAGCAAGTTCAGGTTTAGGAATGGGTCCTCATCATGCTATGCAGGTTGCGGAACGCCTTTATACTCAAGGATATATAAGTTATCCTCGAACTGAGACAACGTTATACCCAGAAAATTTCGATTTACTGTAAGTCAAAGGAAGTTTAACATTTTTTTATTTTTTACTCAAATATATGCAGAAGTATTCATATCTAGTGCAGAGTTAAAGCAACAACAAAGCAGTCCTGATTGGGGAGATCAAGTACGTAAAATATTAGAAACTGGTATTAATAGACCAAAAAAAGGAATAAATGTTGGAGATCATCCGCCTATTACTCCTATGAAATATGCTACACGAAACGATCTTGATGGGGACACGTGGAGATTATATGACTATATAACGCGACATTTTATCGCTACGGTAAATATAGTCAATTGAATATTGTATATAACAATTTTTATTTAATTTAAAAATCGTAAATGTTTTATACTTTGTAGCTGGCTAGCGATTGTAAATATCTAAGTACTACAGTTAAATTTGAGATAGGAATGGAAGTATTTACGGCAAATGGTCATAGTTTATTAGACCTCGGGTATACTAGTATACTTCCATGGCAGGCACTAGGAAGCAACGATACTTTACCCAGATTTACAGCAAATGAAAAAGTTAATATACAAGAGGTAAATTATAAAATGAATATATAGATCTTTTAATTCTTTATTATTTTTGTAATGGTTTTTATAGATAAAGTTAGCCGAATGTTACACGCAACCTCCAGATTATTTGACGGAATCTGAATTAATATCTCTTATGGAGAAACATGGCATTGGAACCGATGCCTCTATTCCGGTACATATAAACAACATATGTATGCGAAATTATGTTAATGTGGCAACTGGTAGGAAATTAGTTCCTACTTCTTTAGGAATTGTGTTAGTTCATGGATACCAAAAGGTACATATTTTTTCACACGTATAGAGAGCAATTAATTACTTTACATGTAATACTTTATATCTTATAATTGTAAATTAATATTAGATAGATCCAGAATTGGTGTTACCTACAATGAGATCTGCAGTTGAGGAACAATTAAATTTAATAGCTCTGGGTCGAGCTGATTTTCATGCTATGTTACAGCATACAGTTGAAATCTTCAAACAAAAATTCCATTACTTTGTAAAAAATATAGAAGCAATGGATCAGTTGTTTGAAGTTTCCTTTTCTCCCCTCTCTGCATCGGGAAAAGCACACTCTAGGTGAATATATAATACTAGTGTAAATAAATAGATAACATCTACATATAAGTGAATATATATATATTATGATTTAAGTATTTATGTTTTCCTTTAATTTTTTTGTATTTAGGTGTGGAAAATGTCGACGCTACATGAAATATATACAAACAAAACCATCAAGGATGCACTGCGCACATTGTAATGAAACATATAATTTACCACAAAATGGAAATATTCGAATTTATAAAGAACTAAAGTGTCCATTGGACGAATTCGAATTGCTTTCATGGTCTACTGGAGCACGGGGGAAAAGTTACACATTTTGTCCATATTGTTACAATAATCCCCCTTTTAGGTAATCTTATTTATTTGAATATATCCAATTTTAGGTTGTTACAAAATTTTAGCTTGTTACATCAATCATAAATTTCAGAGATATGAAAAAAGGAATGAGTGGGTGTAATTCTTGCACACATCCAACTTGTCCACATGGTATGAACTCTAATGGCTTATCGAGTTGCCTAGAGTGCAATGCTGGTATACTCGTCCTCGATCCTTCAGCTGCACCTAAATGGAAACTTGGATGTAATCGTTGCGATGTTATTATTCATTTATTCGAAAATGCCCACAAAGTAACAGTCGACACTGAAGTGTGTGACTGTGGAGCACAATTAGTTACTGTAGAATATAAACAGGTAAAACGATCGATTTTAAACGTCAAATTAAGAAAAGTATTGAAATAAATTTCTTTTTTTTTTGATTATAGGAAAAAAGTAAGCTTCCCAATGAAACTACTGAGATGACTGGTTGCGTTTTTTGCACACCAGCTTTTATGGCACTCGTAGAGAAGCATCGTGCAGTTGCTTCGAAACCGGTTACAACCCGTGGCCGTGGTCACGCCAAAGGTCGCAGCCGGGGTAAACCCCGTCCTCCGAAAGATAAAATGGCACAATTGGCTGCATATTTTGTATAAATGATTCTGTTTGTAAATGAAGTACATAGATATTACTATTCCCTTCCCATTCACACTTTGACACGTCTGATATTGCGTAATCTTGAAAATAAATCAAAATGTATTCACTACCTCAATGACTCATATATACATTAAGTTATTTTTTATGATCAATTACATATTTTTAAAGTTACTCTATGATTTATATTATTATATGGTAGTATTGTGTTGCAAATAATGAAACTTATAAAAGTCTGTGTTTTTATAAAAATATATATGTATATATTCATATAACTGAAAGTCATAATCTTTTTAGGAATTTTAATTACCTATAGAGAGAATTAATTAAAATTACCGATTCCTATCGTTGCATGTTTTGATATACAGCGTAGAGAGGGCATACTATACATCTTTTACGAACTTTCAGAGAAAAGTTAAATGTAAAATAAATCATTACATAGATGTTCAGAGAAAAACGAGAAAAATATACAAAAAGTAAAAATTCTTTAAAAATATGGTATAAAAATATGATTTTATTTTGAATGATTTTATAGTTAATATTACAAGCGTTGGTCAAAGTTTATAATGTCAATATTTGCTTATGTTTACGTATTAAGTATATTTGATCTTTCGATAATTACTAGTTTTTCTACTTTGATTTTATTTAGACATATATATAATTCATATTTTTTATTTTCAATTTATTATCATGAACAGAAAAAAGGAATATACACAATATACTTTTTTAAACATATATTTTTGAATCTGTTTAACACATATTTTATAAAATTTTTAATTTAAAAGGAATTACTTTAAAAAAAACACGACATACAAGATTCCTTTTTCCTTTCACGCAACACGGGGTCAACATTTGACTATTTAAACATTATTCAATCATTCTCCTACAAAATTAAAAAACAAAAGCTAAAAATCATAAAATCCACCGAATCTCTATATACGGTAGATCGCAATGTGCCGATCGTCGTGAGTCTATTACAGTGAAGAGTATCGGTAGTGGCGTTCAACGGAGAAAGTTGATTGGCTCGAGGAGGCGAACGCGGTAGTAGTGGGGAGCAAACTGTGAGCAAAAGGGCGAAATGGTGCAGCTACTCACGTAGCCGCGCTGTCAGTTAGTAAACGTTCGTTGTGTTAAACGGATCTGTAGGTCGAGTTGAGCAAAGGATAAGTGAGCGCGCGCGTTGTCCGTTTCGTGAGCTTGCAAGCTCCTTAACACGTCGCGCGTTCCTTTCTGTATGCCATCTCGTGTGTTTGCTTGCTCGTGCATTGAGGGGACCCGAGTCCCGATGTGCGTTTGATAAATATAATGCGGTGAAGTGAAACGTGTCCTGGGCGCGGCGATTCCGGCAGAAGGAAAGAAGAGAAGCCTAGTAAGCTGGCCGGCATGTGCACGCAGTCCTGTCGCGGCACTACTGCTGCTGTCATTTTGGCAATGTTCCTCTGCCGGATTTGCTCCGCCGAGGAGCAGCCGGGTTCCTCTAGTGGACCCGGTCTCCTGGAATCTTGCAACGTCACTGCCGACGGACGGGAGTTTTCCTGTCGTGGGGCTGGCTTCTTGTCCATCCTGGAGCCTCTTGATGTCATTGTACTTCCACCCACTGTTAATCTTACAAAACTGTAAGTATGCAGTGTGTGTATATATACCATATTCCTGTAATGATTGTTTTATTATTTGTCAACGTTTTCGTGATAAAATATTTCGAATTGTATATAAATGTAATGATAAACCCACGATCCATTAATTTCGCTCTTCTTGTTTTGTTTCTTGTTACGTTTTTTTCGCTTGCGCGGTTTTTCGTGCACTACGGTCGCATGGAGATTCTTCAAACTTTTGCCTTGCGAGTTTGAAAGGCTTGACAGCGGATGAGGTATCAGATCCTTGGGACATTAAAGTTTTAAATGATTCTCGCGGCAATTTAATATCTGTAGTATAAAATCTACGTTTGGAAATGAATATTTAACATTTATTGTTAAAAATTTAATAATAAAATTTGCACTATATAAATATAGATTAAAACAATTTACCACGTGACTTATCAAGAAGTGTTAATTATCCAAATACCAAAACTATCTGTTGAAAGTAAAATGTATCTCTACAGCTTGTTTTTCCTTTTTTAAACTACATCTTTCTTTCATGTATTCGTGTAGCCAGATTTGTGTCTCAAAATTATTATTCGCCGATCGTCATATGACACTTAATTTTTTCCTTATTTGCTATCGATGTTCCAAATAGAAATGTTGCTATTATCGTGGCAGTTAATATTATACTAATTTTGCATATTTGTATCTGTGGATTTTGTATCTGTGGATTTTGAAGTTCATTACGAAATGTTCAGAATGGAGGAATGAAAAAAGTGACTTTTACACTTTGGTTATGCGCAGTAAGCGGGAGAAGAACGAACGACGAGTAATTGGAACTTTTTTCTGGCCTGGATTCCATCCGAAAGTATTCTTCGAGACAAGTTTACCGTAGTTTTCATATGTACACTTGGTTATGTCTGTTCGTCTGACTTGCTACGCTGCATACTACTACGCGAGTCTATTTCCGTTTCATCTGTTTCATCGTTATTACTTTTATATCATAATTGCTATCGTTAATAAACCTATATATTTTACATTTTTCACAAATAATTATGGAAGTAGTATTTCATAAACCTATATTTAATTTGAAAGGCTGTATTTCTTAAGGGTGCATCAATTAAAATTGCTATGACATTATACTGACTAGTGATGAATGTCGCCGGAAATCATAAGGAAAAATATACGCGGGAAATAATATATCAAAGAAATGGTGACATTATAGGATACATTTTAAATCACGTGATCATAGAAAAATCAATTTTTAGATTTTAAGTATTCTTAGTGTCATAATTTACGACATGTTTTTTTGAGCGGATATTAAAAAAGAATACAAAATTAGGACGAGGAAAGAATTATTCAACTGAAATCTAATATATAGGTTCCGATACAGTAAAGAATGTCACCGTGAGGATAGAAGTTTGCAGGAATAAGAATTTCTGATATTGATTTTGGACAAGAAATTAACTTTTATAACTTGATTGAAGAAGAGACTTTCAAAAGCTATAATATTCGAAGAAGATTTTTAAAAGAGTGGAAAATTAGGCGTTTTGAGACAGTTTCTTAATCAGACAATTGCGTTGGCTAAACTGAAGTTTAATGTTGCGTATGCTTCTCATCGGTCACGCGAGGTTATGTTTGCGTGTGGTCACGAAATAACTTAAATAAGTATACGGTGGCCAATCAAAGGTACTAAAATATCATTCTATTATGGAATCTCTGGATTATAACGTTACTAAATCACTGAAATATTTAATACTACGAAAAAGATGAATTATACTATATTTGAAAAGAATAAAATTTCAACATTTATATTGAAAATTTTATTGTTTTGCATTTCTCAATCTTACTATTAAAAATTTTTTTTATATTCATATTTATAATTTCAAATATTCAATCTTTCTCGCTCTATACACGAAAGAAAATATTAAAATAGCTGAATATAAGAATTATTAATTCAAAAGAATCTTGAATAGTAAATGTAATATTAAAAATTTGTATGTGTGTACTGTTTTAGATACTTACATTTCATACATCTTTTTGAAGCAAAACTTAGTATATTTAAATCTCTGTACAAAGTATTTACTTTGCATTTTCAATTTTTCAGTTACAAAGGAATATTCGAACAAACAGCAGATACACGAAAGATATACAAAACTATACGATATCAGTATAGACTCACAAGTGTAAAGCAATTCACTTTTTATCTTGCAAACTTCTTTTTTAACGCAAACATCTCAAACTCTACCAAAAGCATAATTCAACCTAGTTATATACCTGAAACACCATGTATAGTATGCCCGTCGCCGTAATATACCAAGGAAAGAGGGTTCTAACAATAAAAGTCGCTCTAAGAGGCAAAATAAAGTAGAGAAATAAAAAGAATGAGTGTTCTAACCATAAAAGTCGCTCTAAGAGGCAAAATAAAGTAGAGAAATAAAAAGAAAAATGGGAGAAAAAGAAAAAGGAGTGAGGAAAGGAGGAAAACCGGCAGTATGGAGCATTAAAACGTAGTCCCAGTGGAGCACTATAAAAATGAAATCGCACGGTACAATGACGAACGCTTCCAAGAATACAGGAACGAGGTATTAGAGGCGCGGTGAATATCTCCTAAAGGCAAAAGGTATGAAGTATAATCCGTACAAGTGCGTTTGATGGTTGCCGACCTACATAGCTAGATGTTGATCCTTCTGTACTCGTAGACAGCCGATATTTTATAGATTACCGTTTAGGATCAAGGAAACGACATGGAATCGAGGAATTCACGCAGACGGTCATATCCTGACATCTCGTACTCGTTGAATGCTCGTGATCTTTGGTACGATTGGCATCTCAAAGAATTGTGTCTTTGGCAATGAAAGACTACGAATTGTTCATATATATTATTATACAGTTGAGGTCTTTGAAAAATATTTCTTGACTTTCTTCTTTTCTTCTCTTTATTAACAATCTTCTCATTAAAATTTCCTTTCTAGAAAATAGAATGCTGAAGATTCCTGATTTACATTTGGATCCTCCTGTGTGATTGTGAGTCCTTTAATGAAAATGAAATCCCAAAGGTTAGTTCCTAACTCTCCTTTTAAATTCCTTCTTTATGTTATTTTTTTTTGCTTTTGTTGAAAAGATACTCTTTTCTTTGGTTTCTTCAATCTTTCATTAGAATTTTCTTTTTTAAAAGAAATAGCAGAAAGTCTATGAAAAACGAGTGCTCAACGATACTTCTACATTCTTCCTCGTGTATTCATTATCAAGATTCTTCTTCGAACACGTTGAGAATCTTCTTCAAGAACGAAGTCTCCGAGGAACTTTACTTTTTCACCAGGATTATTGTTTTCGAAAACGGTAATAGTCTTCTGGAATGTAACTTCTGAAGAATTTTCTCAGTTTGCTCTCTGCGAATCCTCTTCGAGAAGTTCCATTTTGAAAATTGAAGTTTTCAAAGAATTCTTTTCTCCTTTTTCCGCCTCATACTTCTCGACCAAGGCTCAGTGTCCCTTTGGTTACCCCCAAAGAAACAAGTAGCCCTCGAGAATAAAGTTTTTTTAAAGTCTTACATCTTTTTGTGCTCTGTGAAGCCTTTCAGTCGTTTCTTTTCATCGGGATCTTCTTTCACGGTAATCTTTCTTTTTTCATCGCGAAGGTCGATCACAGGGAAGGCGCAGGAAAGTAGAAGGCGACCCGAGAGTAAAGAGAAGAGGGTACTTGAAAAGCGAAGCAATTTATCTTCCTTCATCTGTGGAATCGACTGATTAATCGACGGGGGTCGTCGAGATTAATTCGTGCTCTGTCTAGGTAACCGGAACGAATCGCTGGAAATTATCGGGCGTTATTGATTCTCAGCGGTTGGTAAATCGACGAGGAAACGGCCTACCTGTTTATAGAACTATTATACAAGGCACCCTATGCAATTGAGCCATGTCATAGCTTTAAAATGGTCGAAGATACAACAAAACTTCATTATGCAAAGTAAAACGACTTGGAACAGTAGAACACGTGATGGTATATGTTTGCTTAATCGCTGGTCTTTAAAGGAAGCTATACAAAATTTATAAAAGATAGTGGTCGTAACTTTAAAAAATATTTTTACTTTTATATCTAACTCATTTTCGAAAATCTTACATAATATAATTACATATATATTTTATCAAGTAATTTTTTTAATAATATCATTACGATAGTAATAATTTAATTACTTTGTACCGTGAATTCCTAAAAAAGTCAGAAAAAAAATTTGGTAACATCGATATAGTTAATTCAATATCAAGATTCTTTCTCTTATCATTCAATTAGTAAATAACTCGTTGGGAAAATAACTCGAAAAAGAGTTGAGAACGTCATTCAATTTTTTAAAACCTTATTTATATGTATATACATATATTACAGGTCGATAATTTTACCCTTAACAATTTTTCAACTATCGTTGAGCCATGTCATACCGAACACGATAATCTGAAGAAAAGAAAAATGAGGAAGAATGGAACAGACAAAGGAACGAAGACGAACGTGATATAATTAGAACGAACAACCCCACTGAATGGAAGTAATTAACAGAGCAAAAGATTCACGTCTGTTTGACGAAAGGATGAATGAAAAAGCTTCGCTTCACCGTGCTGCTTTTCCAGCGAGCTCCTTTTCTATAAATATTTCTCCCGATGTAGCAACATGCAATGGTAACGTGCGCGCGCTTTTAAAACGATTCTGATTTATTTTTCGGCGAGCGCGAACGAGATTAATCGGCGCCTAACTGCACGCGGAGATATCAGTCGCTGAAAGGGCCGATGTAGAACTGTCTTTACGTAATAAATGGAGCAACTGTTGATCGCGGAACGATTGCCAGCCACGGTTTTTCCTTCGCGAAAATTTATGTAATGGCACCCTCTTCTTTCTCTCATCCCAGTGTGTTTCTTCACTCTTTACAGTTGCCAGTTTTATTTTCGTGGCAAATTGTGAAATTGATTATTCCGAATTTTGAGAGAAACGTTGGAATGCTGGGTACTAATCGAACTTGCGAGTTTTAAGGAATTTTCAAATTTGATCAT